GGCAACCCTGTTCATAGGCGCCACCTGCTGTCAGAGAGTGCGTCTCATTCAGACCTGCTGTTTTTGTTTCGTGCAGATGTTTTATGTAGCAAATAAATAAATAACACCTAAAGTCAGACCATTCTGTTTTTGTTTTAAATTCTGAAATTAATCTAAATCAAATCAAAAACAACTGCCCGTGCAGATCATGATTAAAATTCAGTGGTTGCCTCTAATTTCAAATGGCTAGATATTTTTGTTTAAAGCCAGTTTGTTTGTTATAAAGCAAATAGCCAATAAATATATTTGCTTAAAAATCAGTATCAGTATCAGAATCCAAGTTGCTAGTTAAAAAAAAAGAAAGAAAAGAAAATCTGAATTCTGAATCAGCTATGACCGGCGCATCACTAATTAAAATACTAAGTAAAAGGCCTCAAATTTGAAGTACAATCTGGGATGTCTTATCAATTCTTCAATAGGTAGATCTTGTCTTTCATAAAGGCCGAGGTCAGGGATCTTGGGTCTAAAAAGGTTGGTGACCACTGATCTAGAGCATGATTCTGGACCAGTGAGACTTCACCATGGGAGAGGACCGAGATATTAATAGTATAAACCATGATTAATAGATACAACAGAAACCAAGAGTCTGAATGTCAAAAAGCTGGTTTGTCCCTTTGACTACAAGCCATTAATTCCAGTGAAAAACGACATTCAAGAGAATGTAGAATAACAGCAGTGCTCTGAAAAGCTTTGAAATGAATCTCCCACACTGGCAGCAGGACCCTCGTCAGTCATCTAATGAACGTGAACTAATTAAAAGCCTCAACTCGCCACACACTGATGTGCTGTGCTTTGTAATCTATACACTGAAATGATGGTCTCCATTCAAACTCGCTGCAGACACACAAGTCCTCACTGACCCCATTTATTAAGCTAAAGATCCTTACTAATAGTACTATGTGACCACACTATACACACACACAAAACCCTCACAAATCCAGACAATAAGCCAGGCTATAGAGACACCATTTACTGAAATAATGAATGACTACCAGACATAACTCCACTCTTAAGCCTGAGGTCTTAGTATGAGAGTGTTTTTGAGCTCCAGTCATACTCTGTTTGGTCAGAATATCTCCTGCATGACTTAGAGAAACATATTAAATGAAGACCATATAAACATGGTATTCGTCCTGGTGTGGAGTTACTGGCAGGTTGCCTGATATTCCTCTGGATTTTGTGAAGGAAGTCATCCAAATGTTTATTGATTATGCTGTCTCAATTCGGCCTTGGTAAACAATAACCAGTCTTGTTGTACTACACTAGACCCTGTTATCAGTTATGGTTTGGTGGTCTTAGTGGCAGCTGTACTTCAGGTAAACTGCTGGCAGGGATAGTTGTGGTTCCAAATTACCTTCATTGTATGGACAGAAAAAAAAAAAAAAAAAAAAAAAAAACACACCAAAACTGGGTATGATTCAAATCACATAAGGAGGTGGCATGTTTGGTCAGAATATCTCCTGCATGACTTAGAGAAACATATTAAATGAAGACCATATAAACATGGTATTCGTCCTGGTGTGGAGTTACTGGCAGGTTGCCTGATATTCCTCTGGATTTTGTGAAGGAAGTCATCCAAATGTTTATTGATTATGCTGTCTCAATTCGGCCTTGGTAAACAATAACCAGTCTTGTTGTACTACACTAGACCCTGTTATCAGTTATGGTTTGGTGGTCTTAGTGGCAGCTGTACTTCAGGTAAACTGCTGGCAGGGATAGTTGTGGTTCCAAATTACCTTCATTGTATGGACAGAAAAAAAAAAAAAAAAAAAAAAGACTCATCCAAACTGAGGATGAGTAAATGTGACAGACTTTAACATTTGATTAACACTTGGTCTAAATGGCACCTTTACAGAGAAAAACAATCAGAGGTACTTTATTTGGTTTCGTTTGGAGACCTTTCAAGTCTAAAGGTTTGTTTTAGGTTTCCTAATGATTGTTGATAGGTAAAAATAATGCAGGATTTCTCATCCATAACTTGAACGCGTCTTTTCAGTTTACTTGGTTTATACGGTGGATACGTGTTTATTCACAGCAAGAAAACTGATCAGCAATGACAGTGGATTTCAACCTGTTGCATAAGAGCAAATACTAACAAACAGGCTTGAAGGATCATAAAGAGTGACTCTCTCTTTATGACTAGTGTGCAAAATAGCACACTAGTGGCAGATGCACATAATGTAGCATCTGCATTTGACTGACATATTTAGAACGAAACACGTTTTAATGATGGAGAATGGCTTTAAGGGAAATCCTGTCAGCATTTACTCGCTTGTTTGAAACCTGTATGCGTTTTCTCATGGAAAATTTAATATAAGATGTTATGGACAGACAGTAACGGTTAACTTTTAATGCATAATTTTTCATACAGTTAAAATAAATGGTTACTACAGGATTCTGCCTACCAAGCATTGTATTTTTTACGCAAAAAGAAAGTCAAATGAGACTGAAAAAACACGAATGTGAGTAAATTAAAAATTGTATTTGTGTGTGAAATGCCCCTTTAATTAGTCTGCAAATGGGTACAAATTTGGGGATGAGAAGTGCTGCATTTTGGACGTTATTTGCTCAAATTCGTGGAGCATGTGAGCCAGCAGCTGGTTAAAGAGAACAGCCTGCAAACCGAACAGTCTGTGCCGAGCTAAGATGGCCAACTCCATCAGCTGTGCCACTAAACACGTACTCTTCACAGGGGAGAGACATCACAATCAGGTCATGCTCACATCAAATCCATCGAGCAATTGCATGAATGATTAGATGCCTGCAAAAAGATAAAATGCATTACCCAAGCGAAGCGCAAAAATTGCGCCAGCACTGACAAATAATCCACCTCCCATAAATGAGAGCATTGCAAAAATAACGGATCAGAGTATAATTGTATCATGGGTCGAACAAAACACTAACATTAACTCGAGAAATGACTTAATGCCAAACAGTGATCTAAGACTGGGCCTCTAATAGCAAACGTTACATGAATTCGATACCTGAATTCGCTTCTTGTGTCTCCTGCGCTCCGCCATGATTTCTAACTTCTGGGTTCCCTTGACGTGGTCACGAACAGAGTGGGGAGGGAAGTCTCGCGATATTTCGAATTGCCCGTGATCAGTCACTTCTTCGCTTGGCAAATTAAAATCTGAATGAATGAATGAATACTGCCATCTGAAGTGCAGGTGAGGTCAAAAATAGAAGATTTTTTGTAGTGAGAATTATTAGATCAAATATTAGCTATCATAAATTTAACATCAACCTAAAATCATCCTTTCTTGTTCAATAAAAGTTCGACACCTAAGAAGTAACATTTGAACCAAGGTTATTATGAAACCTGGAATAAAATAAATGATCATAAAAACCTTTTATTAAGACAATAAAAACCATAAAAAACTATAAAAATAAAACAATAAAAGCCATTTTCTTCAGTTTATTGTTGTGTTGACTGCATTGATTAACCATTCAAAGTGATTGTAAGAATAAAATAATCAAATATATTTTTAATATGGGAATTGTTTTATTAACAACTACAAAACATCATTTGATATCTGTCCCCTTCAAGTAATAGCTTAATTTAGGCTAAATGTAATTTCATATTTATTGCTAGAAAATTACAAAAAAAAAAAAAATCCACACAAATAAGGGATTTAAGATTTAAGGGATTTAAATAATGTATTTTCATTTTTTTTTAAGAAAAGAATGCTGTATATTCTGTTTTGTGTGTGTGTGTGTGTGTGTGTGTGAATGCTGTATATGAATCTTTTTATCATATCAAATGAATCAGATAAAGACCAAATGAATCATTCTTTTTATTTTCCCCATAGCAAACAGTATATGACAACAGAGAATAATTTAAGTTGGAAGTAAAAACCAAAATACAATTGTACAATGAAAAAGGCTGTAATGATAAAGACAAAAAGATTTGTGAATGATTTACTGACTTATTACAAAATATATATACATAGAAATATCCATCATTCGACAGTCTACTAGTCTGCTGGAAACCACATTCTGAACCTACTGCATAACACGGATCATAATATATTTGTGATGAATATTTAAAAATATAGAATCAGTAAGTTCACTACAAAAATGTCAGTGCCTGTCTACTTTATGCATTCAGTGTCAAAACAGTAAAGGATTTTGAGGTAAAAAAGAAATCCAACAGTTCTGCATTCTTTTTCAGGTGGTCTCACTCATCTGGGTCGGTGAGGGATTATCAGCTTCACTTACAGGCTCCGTAGATTTAAGAGCTTCTGTGTCTCTTGGGCTGCTGAGCAGCTCCAAACTGTTGCAGTTGAGGGGGGAGCTGATGTCTGATGATCTGTCCCCGCTTTTCTCAGGTGGAGGCTGCAGACCGGAGACGGGGAGAGGCAAGTTCATCATGTTGTAGAACATGTTACCCAGCCGTCGGGACAACTGAAAAGAGAACAGAACAACCTAATGAGTTAGATGAGTTCATTCTTTAATAAACTTAAATTTTTTGAAGCCCAAGGACCTCTTGGAGGGTAGAGAGAACCCTTAAAATAATCTGTCATATATGTGTATTTTTCATTTTATATATACAAAATATACATCATTTTATTTAATATTTTAATATTAATTTAATTTTAATGATGAACCTTCTTACTGAGATAGAATTTGGTCCTTTTGAAAGATGGCGAATACCTGTGATCGTATCTTGAGCGCAGGACCGAGCTTTAGCCCAAGTGTATCCAGGAGGTGGTCCTCTGTAAGAAGAGGTAACGTCTCTCCATCAATCATATGGTCTTTGAATGTCTGCAATGGATGACACACAAAAGAATGAGACTTAAAGGTATATAATTGTAATTGCATTTTGTGATTTTACATTTTTATTACCTGTGCATATTCGGCACAGCTTGGTATTTCACTGATGAAGTTGTAGACGTCATCAACTGACCACTTGCGAATATCTTCTAATGAAGACATTTCTTCTCCATTAAGAAACATATTAGGATGTCCTAGTTGAAAATAAACCAAAAATTAATAGGTAACTCTGACTATAATGAAACATAATTTTAATATTTCTTAAAAGAAATGTATATCGGTTGACAAAAAATGTCTAACAAATAGCTAAATACCAATGTTGTTATTGTTAACTAAAAGTAAAACTGTAAAAAAAAAGTTTTAATTAATTCAAACAAAGCTGAAATAAAATATAAATATCAGATGAAAAACTTCAACTTAAAAAATGTCAACAAAAATCATATTGCATTGGCAGCTAACTGAAACAAATAGTTTAATATTTTCAGTTTAAGTACTAAAATTACTAAAAACAGAAATAAAAATAAATTAAAGCTACATAGAAACATAAAAAACTCAAATATGACAAAAGCACATAACAACATTACTAAAACTTCAACTAAAATTAAAATGACAACATATTATAGAAAATATAATAAAGTCTAATTCAAAATATTAATACATATTATAATAGTATATAAATAATACTACTAAAACAACACAGTTAAGCTCAACCACTGCATTTAAAAAAGGTAAACTAACAAACACACCAAGTGGTACAAGTCCATTTCCTGGCATGGGGAGCATGTAGGGTATCCCTGAGAGCGGGCCAGCAACAGATGGGTACAGAAACTTTTCTTGGAAAGCCGAGCAGTGGCTGGATATGTCTTTGTCACTAGTGCTAGCACTGCAGTTGGTGACTTCTGCACATCCCTCCTGTCCACTAATACATGCCTTGTGAACCCCTGGCTCTCCTTCCTTAAAACTTTTCCTACTACTGCCAGAAGACAGCTCTGTTTCTACTTTGGTTTGGTGTGGTTTGCCTTTCGCTTCAACTTCCTTCTCCTCTCCCGAAGCAGCTCCTGGACTCTGCTCGACGTTCTTCTCTTCTGATTGGCCTTTGGGGAGAGTGATGTTGCTGTCTGAGCTCTTATGATTGGCGGACCTTCTGCCGGTCCTGCGTCCTCGCTCCCTTTGCAATGTGTTGATCGGTGGGTAAGGGCTTGCCATTAGGAGACTGTTAGCATGCAGGTCTTCAAGGGCAGTGCGATGGATGAATACATCATGACTATCTGAGAGCCGCTGGCGTCCCCTGAAAGCTGTTGGATTGGGTTGGATGCCTTGGTACATCATGGGATTCTCCATCCCAATAAGACCCTTTTGGTGGGAGTTCTCCAGTTCTTTTTGGTGCAGGATAGCATTCATCTCCATCCTCATTAAAAAAATAATTTACAATTAGTGCACGCCCACTTTTTCAGAGGTTGTGGTTCGGGAAGTATTTTTTCCATTAATTTTTCTCTGGGATTTTAAAAATGTCTTTGTTAAAGCATTATAAGCCATAAACCAAGACTATGTACAAGGTACATTGTACAAGGTACAAGATTGTATACTTTAGTGAAGAAAAGAAGTACAATCCCATGAAGCATTGTGAATGACATAAAATGAAGGAGAAATACAAATCTATTCATTTAGTTAGATATATAGACAGATAAACACTATTTTTAAAATTATTTTGAGAGTCCTTGCCTGCAGTGCTCTTTTGGCACTATTTGCTCGCTACTACTCTCTGACTGGTGGAATTTTCTGTTTCGCGTTAAACGTGATTATTTTAAAAACAAGCTGAAATAATGCAAACAGATGTTTTCAACATAGGAATATACCATCAATTAACTGCCTCAGAGATCACAACAGATCTGTCTTTCCTATGGACAAAATGAATGTAGTTTTTACTTCCAGAACTCGACTGTTGCACTCTATGGATTTGTATTGCATTCATCTGTATGACTTTACTCCCGTTTAACATAGTTATAGCAAATACACTGAAATGTACCTGGCTATGTTCTGTTTGTGAATGAACTCTTGCCGTCTAGCAACCGTCTCCATGGATTCAGTTGGAAGGAAGCCATAACCTGCAAAATGGAAAAAATTGTAAAATTAGGTTCTTCTTTCTCTCTGAGCTTCCCCTGTACTTCTCTACATTTAACCAGCATATAATTTCATTCTAACCTGTGCCAGGGAATCCTCTGCCTGGAATAACTTTGGAGTTTGGGGGCAGAGATGGGCCGAAGTGAGCACCCATGTGGATTTGTCTAGCATCAGCTGATACCATTTCAGTGGGCGGCACAAGGTCCCTGCAGATAAAGAGGAATCATTCATCATTAAAATCTCACTAATTTAAACTGCATAGTTAGCTGCAAATGCTTTGGCAATAAATTTCCATTTCTTGTCATGCCATTAAAGCTCATGTAAATTGAACCTATAATATCCATTAACAATTAAAAACTCATTCTCTTTTACTGTCTTGGTTGTTTTGGAGTTCATTCTAACAGACCTTTCCATGAAGCGGGGATCAAACTGTGCAGGCACACCCTGCAGTCTCTGCTGCCCCTGAGCCAAGATCTGTGGAGCCATGGCCATCTGGTTCCTCATCATGAGCTCCTGCCTTTGCCGTATCTCTGCTTCAAACACAGGGGAACAGATGAAGGTGTCTCTAGCCTAATAGTAGCTCTTTCTCAGCCATATTTCTTCATGGTTGTGATCAGCTCTGGTTAAAGTGTTCTATGAACTCTGCCACTTCCATGATGAACTCTTACCTCCAGCAGACATTCCATTGACCAGTCGGTACCAGTGTTTCTCATCTAGGGCACCTTGCTCTCCCAGCGCTGATAACTTCCTTAGCTGTTCACGTGGGGTCATGACACTGCCTCTTTCCTTAGTGTAACAAACATAGGCTACATTCTCGAAATGTAAAAAAACAATCACTGCATTGTATGGACAAAAATACAACGGAAGTCAATGGGAACTGAAAGTGTTTGGTAATCAACAATCTTCAAAACATATTCTTTTGTGTTCAGATTTTTTAATTCAGCAACTTGTTTCGTTTGTAAATAAATCAGTGTTTGGAACGAATCGGTTTAGTTAATTAATTATTTATTCACTCATTAAGACGGTAACTTGTCACCACCTACTGGTGCAACTATGTAAGCTGCAGATCAAGTCATCGAAATGGTAAAATGCCTGGAAGTTATGATGTATTTGGCATGATGTGCCTATTCACTGCCAATACTAAAATAGCAGCGAGACGAATTACATAATATTGACACAAGACACACAACCGATTCCACCGGCTCAGAGATCAGTATT